ACATGCATATTGCGTATCGAATTTATATAAAAGAGAAAATTAAAGAAGAGATTAAAAAACGACGACATTTTGACGATAATTATTTGAAAGATCGATGATCATTTTCTTATAAAATTGTTTTTTGTTCCTTTTGCTTAAATTTTTTTTTTCTTTTTCGTTTTTCTATCATTTATTTTTCTTTTCTGTTTTTTTTTTGTTTTCAGTTTCATTTTTCTAATTAAATCAGACTAAACCTAATAAATAATTTTTTAAAATCTTTTTCTCGATGTGTTATCAACAACTGTTCAAAGTATTTTAATTACAGAACCCGTTATCGAAATGATTTTTTTTTCTTTTTTTTTTTTTTATAATAGAAATTTAATATATGTTTTAATTAAACGTTCTAAATTATGTTGAAGAAAAATTAACGATTTTATTACAAATATTATAACGTTATTAAATAATAATATACAATTAATGTAACGTAAAATAATTATCATAAAATATACTAATCGCAAACATGCTAAAAACGATATAATAATATAAAATATTAATATTTAATATAGTAATATTAATATTGAAAATAGTAATATATAATATATTAATATTTAAAGTAGTAATATTAATATTTAATAATATTATTATAAAATATTTTTTTTTTTCGTGTGGTTTGTTACCCGGGCGCTCAGTTCCTTGAACCATTGTGCCTGGGCGCCCCTTGCGGGGGAGCACCTATCATTGTAGTGGTCCCGTGGGCACCCACGTCCTCCGTGCGAAGTGCAGCACAGTACGGTCCCCCCAAAGCCCATCACATTGAATGTTGGCGGTGGTCCCAAATGGCATCATTTCTGACGCCCGCGAGCCCAAAGCCAGCCTGGGCGCCCCTTGCGGGGGAGCACCTATCATTGTAGAGTGGTCCCGTGGGCACCCACGTCCTCCGTGCGAAGTGCAGCACAGTACGGTCCCCCCAAAGCCCATCACATCGAATGTTGACGGTGGTCCCAAATGGCATCATTTCTGACGCCCGCGAGCCCAAAGCCAGCCTGGCCGCCCCTTGCGGGGGAGCACCTATCATTGTAGTGGTCCCGTGGGCACCCACACGTCCTCCGTGCGAAGTGCAGCACAGTACGGTCCCCCCAAAGCCCATCACATTGAATGTTGACGGTGGTCCCAAATGGCACATCATTTCTGACGCCCGCGATTCCAAAGCCAGCCTGGGCGCCCCTTGCGGGAGAGCACCTATCATTGTAGAGTGGTCCCGTGGGCACCCACGTCCTCCGTGCGAAGTGCAGCACATCCGGGTCCCCCCAAGCCCATCACATCGAATGTTGACGGTGGTCCCAAATGGCATAAATTCTGACACCCGCGAGCCCAAAGCCACGACGACGAGCACAGGGCATGTCCCCCCTCGTTCGATGTCGGAGAGCGGGGACTCGAACTCGCGAATTCCGGGCGGGAGTCGAGCGCTCTACCGACTGAGCTATGCCGTGCTCCATTATAAAATATTTCATTTAATTCATTAATTTAAATTTCATTGTCAAATATAAATACAATGAACAATAAACATGATTATTAAAATGAATTAATTTTTGTATTATTTTTAATCATAAAAAAAACGTGTTGTTTATCGTTAAACGAAGAGGGGGAGGGATGGGGGGTTTGTAGAAAATTACAAAAAAAAAAGAAAGATTTAATAAAATAGCACAGCTTTAAACTAGAAAATAATGAAACAGAAACATATTAATGTATGAAATAATCAACATAATGACTCGTCCAATGATAGATAACACAATCAAATTAATTACAAAGAAAAATGTTGTTTTAAAAAAGGAAACAGAATAAGAAAAAGAAAAACAGAGAGAAAGAAAAAAAACACAAATCGTGTTGAAAAAATTTTCCACGTAATAATAATCGTGATCAATAATTTTTGTTGAAAAAATCATCCTATTTCTCAATTATTTTATAACAAATTTAACATTGCAAATTTTGATAATATCAAACTGTAATAATATACAATACAAAACTAATAATAATAAAAAAAAAAAAAAGAGGAACATTTCTAATTAATTAAACAATAAATTATAGAAAATACTTACTACCATAAATTAATTTATTCTGTAACACACTCGTAAATCACAGTCAGAGAATATTATCTTTTCAAATGATCGTTAATGAAGATAATAAATATAAAAAAAAAAAAGTAAAATAAGTCACTACTAGATAAGAATATGCAAATAGTTCTGAGTTGTATTAACATTGTTTTCAATATATATATATATATATATATATATTAGGATGGGTCAAAAAAATCCATTATTTTTTTCTTTTACAAGTGCCACGGAAAAATGGGTTGCTAGAGACCTGAAAAAAAAATTCTTCACCAAATATGAGCTCTTCATTTTTTAATAGGAAGATCCCCTCCGCATCGTAGTTTTTTTTATTATTTTTTTTTTTCTCTCAGTCCAATAGAATAAAATTCATAACTCATTATTTATTGATTGTACAGAAAAATGTTCTAGACAAATTTTGTAGGAAATTGAATGCTCTACAAAAAAGGTATCTTAGATTTTTTTCATAAACCTCACCATTTGTATGATATTGAAGATTTAATTTTGATTTATTTTCAGACAAATTTCATCTTTGTTTATGAATTTTATATAACTCGACAATAAATGATTATTATTAAATTAGCAATAGAAATTTTTGTAGGAAATTAAGTGCTGTATAAAAATGGTGTCTTATGTTTTGGCGATTAAATTAAGCGTTCAAAAGATATTCAAAGATAATTAATCAGTACACATGAAAGTTAGATGATGATATTTATGGTTAATTGACAAAATTAATTCATACAACCTTTTTCTATCAATTATTGTCAATTGCATATCAAGCAATCGTTCCTATTTCTATCTACAAAACAAAAAAAAAAAAGGGAAAAAGAAACTGAAAGAAAAATGAACGAACAGAAATATATATTATTATTATTATTATTATTATGTCATATCAATTTAATTTATTCAAAGTGCAGTATATACATTCGAACACCTCGAATGAAAAACTATTATTATGCAATATAAAGGAGAAAACATTTTAATTCGTTACAGATTCGATATTTTTTGCAATATTAACAATTAAGTAAAAATTACAAGATTATTATAAATCAAAATTTTGTTAAATATTAATAATATTATATAGTATGAAAATAAATGTTTGTTAAATGTGTCTGACAGATTTTCTTCTTAGAATTCATTTGAATGCGTATTTTCTATTTTTTTTATTTTTTTTTTTTTTCAAAAATTCTACAGAAGCATAAATAAATCATTGAAATTATTATTCAAATAATCAAATGTTAATAATATATATTTTTTTTTTAAATTGTTATATAATATTAAAAATATTATAATAAATTTAAATGTGTCTGACCATGAGATTTGTAGATTTGTTTTTTTTCTTAAAACTCATTATGAGAGTGTATTATATTTATTTTTAAAAATCAAACAAAAAATATTCTACCAATGCATAATAAGTAGTTAAAAAAATTGTTATTAAATAATAATAATAATAATAATAATAATAATAATAATAAATTTAATTGTATAATTTATTGTCTAAATTGACTATTTTTAAAAATTAATCACATTAACTAAATAATATATAATCACGTTTATTTATAACCTCGAATTGATTGAACATTGGTTTTTTTTTTTTTTTTTTTTTTTTTTTGTTAAAAACAATATTTTGACTGTCTTATAATAAAATAAAATCCGAGTTATAATTCACAATGTGAATTTTTATTCAACTGTTAGACAAACATAAGTGTGTGCAAAATGTATGCATTATGTTAATATAAAAAAAANAAAAAAAAAAAAAAACAAGCTTATTATTATACAATGAATAATTAATCACGTACAACACGTATGTACACACTAGTGTGAAATAAAAAAAAAAAAAAATTAAAAAAATAATTTACAGTAATAAAATATGTCAATTTACAAACAGGATATCCAATAAAAGGAATATCGTTTTAAATATCCTCGAGAAAGGATCAAAAGAAACTTTTGGTTTTTTACAACAACAAAAATAAAATAAAATAAAATAAAATAAAATAAAAATGCAAAAATAATGTTGGGAAGAAAAGTAGGGTAGTAGGAGGGTGTAGAGGGGGAGGGGGATTAAACAAATAATTAATTCAAACGAAACAATACAATTTGTTAATACTAAATCAAAAATAAAAAAATAAAAATCATTTGTTGTGTGAATAATTGTAAGGCAAGTTTTCAAAAAAAAAAAAAAAAACAAAAAAAATTCTGCTGAAATTCCTGCATTTTGTTTTATCTTTTATTTTTTCTGCTGCATTTTTGATCTTTACGATTTTTGAATATTATTTGTTTAAAAAAAATAAACCCAAGAAAACATTTCAACAAACATAATTGTCGAGGGAGACATTTAAAAAAAATGTGGTCATCATCCGTCGGTGAAAGGTCTGAAGTTGAAAGTTTCATAGACTCTCCCTCCCCTCTCCTCCCCTCCCCTCCTCGATCACTCCCCACCACTACTTAAGTCAATTCAACTCATGTAGTTCCTGTCGCGTCATGGTGTTTATCCATAAAGAAAAAGAAGAAGAAGAAGAAGAAGACTTTAACCTTTAACAATTCGAATTATTATTGTGTTAAAATCGAAAGGATTAAAAAAAAAAAAACAAACTAATTTAATTAACAAATATAAAATAAATTTTCTTTTTACGACGCCAAAAAAAAAAACAAAAAAAAAAAATAAAAAAAAAAATTGCAGTTTACCTAATCGATCGAATTTTGTTTTTCTTCTTTACAGGGAAAATACGAAGGAAAAAACAAAAAACAAAACAAAAGAAGAAACCATGAAGGATTTGTCTCTTGAAATATAAGAAGAAGAAAAAAAAATAAATAAATAAATAAATAAATTTTATTTGACAAATTGAAGGAAAACAAAATAAAAGATAACAAATTAAACAATAAGAAAAATAACAACAAGAACAAAATACAGAAAAGAACAAGAACAAAACAAAAATATAAATATATATATAAAATAAAATAAAATAAAATAAAGGAAAACAAACCAATCAAATTCACGATGACAAGTTGCAATTCGTCAAATTATTCACCGTCAAAATCTTCCTTGAGTTGTTGTCAAACTGATAATAAAAGTCAAACAAATGTTGAAGCAATTAATATGGCTACATCCGACACATTACCACCCCCCGCCACATACAAATTAGAAAAAAATTGTTCGTTTCCAAGGAGACCGGAAATTGATCTAATCTTCAAGGACATTAAATTTCGCGTCAAGGAATGGAATCTCAAGAAGTTTGCAATTAGTAAGTAGTAAATTTTAATTCAATCAATTTACTGCTTCTTGTTTTTTTTTGTTCTTTTTCCTATTTTTTTTTTTTTTTCTAATTATACATTAGACATTTTTTTCATATTTTTTTTTCTTTTTGTATCATTTTATTTAATATTATTTTTAAAAAGGAAGCAATTACACACACACACACACACACACAGAGGAACACACTAATATACATTGAAATTGGTCATCTGTATTTATTTTTATTAAAAGTCATCGTTGTTAACCTTGACAAAGATCAAGGAGACACTTATCGAAGATCAACTCCATTTTGTATCTTTTTTTTTTTTTAAATCTTTTTTTTTCCTTTATTCATTAAACCATGCAATTAATTTACATGTACCATTACGTACTGAATATTTATATATAATTATTATCATTATTATAATTATTATTATTATTATTATTATTAAATAAGTATATTTATTTAAATTATGAAATGACGTGATAAATATTTCGTAATAATGTCAATGATAATTATTCAAACTTTTCATTATTTATCATATTTATAATTCGTTGCAATCTATTGTAGATTTGGTTCATCCCCACTTCTTCTAACCCCCACTCTTACTCCACTACTCCCCACTCTTTTAATACCATTAAGTTCATTGATAGTGTTTGTAGGTTAACATTTTGTTCGCATTATGATTAATTTATTACTATTATTATTATTGTTATTGTTATTATTATATTCGATTATTAACGTGTTAATAATTGGAATGTTAGAAAAAAATGTATAATAATTATATATTAATATAATTAGAAAATATAATATATATATCATATAAAAATACAATCGGAGTTAAAAATAAATAGTTACTGATTTTTTTAAACAATTATATATTAATTAACATATATATAATAATATATTTATATTAATATATTAATAAATATATTAACACTAGATATATACCAACATTTTCCAGAATATCTATTTCTACCACACTAGTCAAAATGACTGGTGTATACAGAAAAAAAAATGCTTTTTGAGTTTTGCTTCCAGTCTTTATTTACTCTTACAAAATAACAAAAAATGTTTAACAATAATAATTTTATTAGATAAATAATTTTCTAGATATTTTTAAATAACAAAACGTTTTATTATTTACAGAAGCCAAATGTTACATGAAGTAGACATTTTGAATTGAAAAATGGCACGACCAATCAAAATGACTGATCATGTATATCTAGTGTTAATATTTATTTATTTTCTAATTAATTATTATAATTAATATTTATTTTGTATACATTATATACAAAATATGATGTATATTATGTTTGTATATACAGTTATACTGTATAATAGTATTACTGTATAATAATATATACAGTTATACTGTTAAATAGTATTAATGTATAATATTGTATATACAGTTTGTATAATACATGCTTGTACATACAACTGTATAATAGTATATAATAGTATTATATATACAGTTATGTATATGGTATTTTCATTTTATATGAACATTTAATCAACGATATTTAATACATATTGTTTTTTTTTTTTATTATTATTTATATTTATTTATGATATATATTTATTTATATATATTTTATTCTTAACGAATGTTTTTTCATGTTAACAATAATACGTGAACGATTTACAAATAATATTCTTTGTTTTCACTTTCTTTGTTTGTTTGTTTGTTTGTTTTTTTTTTTCTTTTTAAAGCGTATTTTTCCATTACTCATATTATATTAGATTAATAATAATAATAATAATAATAATAATAATAATAATAATAATAATAATAATAACTACAATGATTTGTTCTTTTGGTCATATATTTTATTGCGCAACTTATTTAATCTCATTTGTTTCTCTTCGTTTCATTTAAAATATTAGAAACTCGTGTGGACGATTATTATTTCCATTCACTGTAATAATAATAATATTATTATTAATAATAATAATAATAATAATAATAATAATAAAAATAAATATAAGAAAAATATTATGCAGTTGAAATTACACAAAACCGATATAAGAAATAATGAATTTTTTCTCATTTTATATACGAGAAATCTATTTAATTAGTACACAAACCACGCACAGACACACACACACATACACACATATATATATATATACACCAATTACGTTTTACGCGTTTTGCGTTTTACATTTTTCTTTGCATAATTGAGGACATGGAAAATAAAAAACAAAAGAAAAAGAACAATACACTGTTAATATTTATAATATTATATTTTTTTTTTCTTTCTTTCTCTACTTCCTTTGTAACTGTTTATAATACTCGCGTATATATATATATAGTGATATTTCATAAAAATCATCTCAACGATTAGTGTATATTTATAAGTGTATGTGTGTACTCGCGCGTATCGTCGTCGTCTTCGTCGTCGTCGTCGTCGTCGTCGGGTGTGTTTGTGTGTGTTCGACTAACTCACGTATAAAACTTATGGAAAATATTTCTTCAAAATGCGTATATTTTTAACAACAACATTAATAATAATAATAATAATGAAGAAAAAAAAAGAAAAAATAATATTTAATTCAAACAACGAACTATTTAATTGGTGTAGAATTGTCTTATTTTTTTTTTTTTTTTTATTATTCATTTTCTGTTAATTCTTCTCTTAGAAATTATCACGAGAAAGTAATATAACAGATAGATAGATGATTATACTTTCTTTTAGTTAGGTTAGTATGTATAGTTGGAAAAAGGTCATTGCATGAAACTTGACTAGGGTATTACATGCATGAGTTATAGTTTTGTTTACGTCACACTTATCATCTCTCTCTCTCTCTCTCTCTCTTTCTCTCTTTCTTTCTATTTTTATTTCTATTATTCTTTTCTCATAATATTTTTATTTTCTATCTTTTCTTCTCCCCTTCTCCTCTCCTCTCCCCTCCACTCCCGCCCCCTTCTTCTCATCCCCACTTCTTCTTCTTCTTCTACTCATTTCATTTATGTATTTTCTTTTTCTTTTTCTTTTTCTTTTTGTTTTAACGAACGATTTGAAACAATGCGACAGGAATATACTTTGAACTTATTATTTTACATTATTTTTCTATTAAAAAGAAAAGAATAAGGAAAAACAAAATAATAATAAGCCCGTTGGAATTTAAACAGATTAATGGCTTCTTATTTATGTATACAAATGTTTATTACAAATATGAAATTAATATACAGAATGAATGCATGATTGTATAAAAGCAAGATATAGAATTAATTAATGGTTAATTTCATAACATCGTTGATAACTATCAATAACAATCATTCCATTGAAATAGGTACAATTTGTTATATTTTCTAAATATTCTATATAATTGTTTTAATATTACATTATATATTTTATTTGAATATTTTATGTTTTATCTATGGAGAGTAGAGATAAGGAGTAGTAACATCACTGTATATGAAAAAGTGTCCGTCGAAATGCATTCAATTAGGGTGGCGCCACAGTACCTAGAGGGTAAATTTTAATGGAAACGCCAAATATTATTAGAGTAGGATTGAGAAATAAACGAGAAACACAAATTTCATCAGACAAATTTTACCCATAACTGTTCTCGTTATTCACATACTTATTCATCAAATTAAATGATTACAAAATCAATAAATGTACTATTTTACAGTTGACGAATTAAAATCACTCTGGTTACACGTATTCTCATAATAATTCTTTAAGGTTATATTTACTACATTATTACATAACTCGGCATACTTCAATTCGTTTACAATTGCTATATTCATACTATATCTTCTGTCTACATCAGCGCCATTCTGGAAGGGTTTTTTGAAACTATTATTTATAGAAAAGGCTGGACACTTTCTTTTTCACATTTTCTCCAATAAGAGATGTCACTCTTTCTTTGAATTGACCTAATTTGTTTTCTTTATGGTTCTTTTTTTTTTTTTATTGACCTTTTCGTTGAACATAATTACGTTTCGTAATAAATCAAGTTATGTAAGAAATTAATGTCATTAATTAAAAAAAAAAAACAAAAAATGTACAATAATAAAAAAGAAAAAGTGAAAGGGTGGGGGGGGCCCCAGTTTTGATAATATTTTGATAAATAATGAAGAAAACGTGACAACGCTGTTAAAATTTTGCATTTTTGAAACGTGCTACACTGTATAAATCTGACTCATGCGATAAGAAGGAAAAAAAAGAATAAAACTGCGATGTAATAAGAAGAAAAAAGAAAACTGAATAAATTTGCGTATCAATGTAATTTGAAAATGTAAGAAAACGAGAACAAAATTTACAGTCTTGAAAAAAACAAACTAGTTCAAAGTTTTAACAAAAAAAAATCACTCTGGTTACGCGTGACTGATTACAAAAAGTTCACTGCACGAAAATATATCTGATGTAAACGAAAATATACAAAGAATAAAAAAAACAAACAAACAAACAAAAAATTATTATTAACATGTTACATTTTAGTGTGTAAATTATGATGAAAGGATTGATGATAAAATATTGATTAATATTATTACTTTTATCAAGTGTACATTGATACTCGATGAACAAACTCATCTTTTACTATCATAAAATGATCATTTGCGTATCGTAGTTCAGTTTTATGCAACTACGAGCTGCAAAAAAAAAAAAAAAGAAAAAAAAGGTTTATTAACTTTGTATAAATTAGTATTGAATTGGATGGATAAAAATAATATTTTATGGATAAAAAAAAAAAAAAAAAAAAGAAAAAAAGGAACAAATTATCATCATAAATGAACAAACAATTTTAATCGATTACTAAAGTCAATAAAATTTTATAACTAGTTAATTATTAGGAAATAAATGACGTAACGTAGAAAAAAGTTCAATCGATTTTCTTTTTTTTTTATTGATAGAACTTTATTATTAACTGTATTTAAACTTTTATATAATTCTGATGCATCATTTTTTTTGATTACTTGTCTCTTCTACAATATTTCAATGAGATCATCTACTATTAATATACTAGGGGTGCACAGTTACGCGTTGTTAATAAACAAATAATTCGCAATAAAATAATATTGCGAATGTAAATTGAGATATAAACTATCCTATCTTTCAAGTTGGATGAAACTGAACACATTGTGCAAAGTTTGATTAAAATCGGTTCAGTAGTTTAGGAGTCCATTGCGAACAAACAACGTAACACGTAATTTATATATATATTAAGATTTATATATTATCTTTTATTTATATTTTTATTATTAGATCGAGTCATAAGTAACTTCCGATGCGGCTATGTAGAATCTATTTTTCGTATTTACCTACTATAAGTCACCGAAACAAACGAATTTTCGATATTACTGTATAGATGAGGATTCAGTTTAGTCTTCTGTTAACTTTTTTATGCAGTCAATGTTACATTTAACCGTTTTTCTTAACCACTAAAATGGATAGTAAAGATCACACGTGTTAGAAGTGAAATCTTCAATAAAATTAAGTTTCGAGAGAATGAGACGAATACAAAATAAAAATATCTGATGTAGGATAATTGTATTCTCTTCTTATTTAGTATCACGGCCGTTTCATCGCCTCCCACCGCTCCGTTACATAGCCGCCTACCGCTCCGTTGCATTGTTTCAAATCACACCCATTCTAAAGAAGTTTTCACTTCCAAAAGTGCATATTCAACATGTAACGCTTTAGGAATTGAAACAAGGCCATAGCACTAAGGTGACAACTGAAAAAATATACAGCGTATACAGTGCAGGACTGATAACTAATAGGGCAGTCAGAAATAGGTTTGGAAAATTCCGTTCTGGAGATACAATCTTAAAAGATGAACCGAGTGCAGGGGACGTATTTCCGACTTTAATGAACCTTTTAAAGGTAATATTGAGAGCAAAATCCAATAGATACGTTAAACAATTGCAAAGAGTGCAAAAAAAAAAACTCCATGAAAGGTGTGTTGCACTTATCATTCGCAGAAACACCATTTTACAACAATTCAACAATTTTTCATATAATACAGGAAAAGAWAAGAAAAAATTCATTTCTAATTATAAGTAATAAAAATAAATCATTAAACGTTAACAAAACTCAAACGATTTTAACTCATACTATCTCAAAAATATCTTTCAAGTATTATCAATTGAATAAATCTGTTTTTTAACTTGTCTTACAAATTCAAATTATAAGTATTGAAAATAAATCATTGAACATTTACAAAATTCAAATGATAGATGATTCATACCATCTCATAAATTTCCTTCCTAAGCTTTAATCAATTTAATGAATGTATTTTTTTTATTTTACTTCTTTTACAATAACTTGTTTTACAGTAATGTAATCAACATTTTATTTAATACAGGAAAAATAAAAGAAAAAATTTTATTCAAATTAAAAATAATAACAATAAATCATTTAACATTTACAAAATTCAAGTGATTTTAATTCATACCATCTCATGAATTTTCCTTTCAAAAGCTTTAATCAATTTAATGAATGTATTTTTTTAACTTGTCTTACAATCATGCAACAACATTTCATTTAATAGAAGAAAATAAAGGAAAAATCCTGTTTGAATTATAAGTTTTAAAAATAAATCATTATACGTTTACAAGACTCAAATGATAGATGATGATTCATACTATCTCATAAATTACCTTCTAGTATTACCAATTTAATAAATTTATTTTTTAACTTGTATTACAACAATGTAACATTTCATTTAACAGAGGAAAAAAAATAAAAGAAAAAATTCTTATTATACTCATTAAAAAATAAATCTACTGACTAAGGACTGATACAGACTGAAAACTGAGGACTAAGGACTGATACAGACAGACTAATTAGGGACAGATACAGACTGAGCACTAAGGACTGACTAAGGATTGATACAGACTGAAAACTGAGAACTAAGGACAGATACAGACAGACTAATTAAGGACAGATATAGACAAACTAATTAAGGGCAGATACAGACTGAGCACTAAGAACTGACTAAGGACTGATACAGACTGAAAACTGAGGACTAAAGACTGATACAGACAGACTAATTAGGGACAGATACAGACTGAGCACTAAGGACTGACTAAGGACTGATACAGACTGAGCACTAACGACTAACTAAGGACTGATACAGACTGAAAACTGAGGACTAAGAACAGATACAGACAGACTAACTAAGGGTAGATACAGACTGAGCACTAAGGACT